GTGTTGGGAGAGAGCTGTGTATTCCCCATTAATTAAGTGTACTCTATAATTGGTAAATTTTGTTATTGTGAACAATCCAACTGTCAATTAAAGTGGGTATATATATGTATATGCGCAATCACTGTCATCACTGGTAAAGCATATTCATGCTGTTCATTCGAATCTAGCCTGCTTGAGTGGCATTGAGGAAGTGTGGAGATGGAAGACGAGAATATAACACCAGAACTACCAGCACATATTTGGCGAGGCGAGCAGTTAATCTTTGTCTGCGTTTTACGCACATGCACATACCCTAATAAAACATTACCAAGATTGCCAAGATCAAGCTTTTCTTGACAGTAGGGGGATGCAAGATACATGCAAATGTATATACAACTATTATTTTGAAAGTGGGTGAATCTATAGAGAAACGATTCCCTGAGGTTGAATTTATGGCCAATGCGCTGTTTACAAACACCAGACATCCCAGCTCTAGTCCAAAGATTCAGTCAGGATGACGGGCCTGTAACCTTTTCTATTGACTCTGTTAAAAAGCAGTATCACAAATGACTCCACAATTGACATGGAATCTCTGCGGTGGGGACATCGTGGCGTCATTAACCCCCGGCGCGCATGCGAAGCGAGGGTTTAGTTGGGTTGTCTGTCTGTTACTCAACATCTCACTTCTCGAATGTTTTTTCGTCTCACAAACGATACTAGCTATACCTGTTAACGGGCAATGAAGGTCAGAAATATTGTGCGGTTTTCTCTGGAAATGCTCCGTTGCAAAGCTAGAGCGCGAAAAGGCCAATTTCTCTCACAGTCGCAGAAAACGTGGTAACAGACAGACAGACGGACATACTTACAAACCAAGTACAGTAACCAAGTACAGCAAGAGAGCAACGTCGACACTGATGCTTACAGTGCTGCCAACCTATTTTGCTTGGATCAGGATGTTTTTTTTTGCTAGCGTGGGCGTGGGCTTTTTGTATTTGACTTGCACCGTTACCTGTAGGCGCTAATTTGCATACTTGGCGCTCGCGCAAATCGCACAAGAAGGCGTGGCTCAACTACGCTACTTGTGTTAGCTGTATAGCTATTCTCCTGTCCGCTACCCTTCTCAAACGCTAAGCTGAAGCCAAGGCTGAGCCTGCCCAGGCAATAGGTCACTGAAGCGCAATGTGCGTGCAACTGCCCGCGTGGATGAATTTCTGCGTGATGACTGCGCACGTGTCGTGAGTGACGGTAATCAGCGCGTTGCGGTTGATCAGCCGTCACAAAAAAGCATGGAATGCGCGCCTGCATTCCGGCACGGATGGTCCATTGGCCAGACCCTCTCCCCCGCGCGCGCATTTAATTAAAAGTGGGAACGAGACTACACAAAAAGCAGACTGGGGACGAAGTACGCAGGGCCAAGCGGCGCGGCGTTGCAACTTTTTTTAGTCTAAGTCGGCCGTCGGTTCGGAGTGGATTAACTAGTGGGGAAAATGCCGAGGTATCCTGAAGCGTTTCTCCTTACCCTTCTCCTGGTCTGCTGCAGCAGCAGCGTTCATATAGGCAGTTCGCAATGTGAAAAACTTCCCAGCAACACCGTACTGGAGGGCCTGATATCATCCACTTTCCAGGGAGGGGATGCCTCAATATCTCCGAATATAACTGTCCTTGAAGTGAATTATGTGTGCCTGGCGTCGGGCAACGTCAGGGGTTCTTTTAACGGATTCTCGGCAGTGGTTCTTTACAGGTGTGTAGGGGAGCGGTGCCCGGCGTCGAGCGTGTCGCAGTTTGAGTTCTCCTGCGATAGTACTGAACGCAAGTGGATAAACTTTGTCGATGGGAGCACAGAAAACCTGCGTACGGATGTCGCCGATGCTAATCTAACATCACCGAATCGTACCGACTGCAGTATATGCTTCAGTCCCACTCATATTCTAGCAAACCAACTAACCCCTGATATGATGTCCAAGTATGACAACATCAATCACTGTCTTGGTAAGTTACCAATAGCTGAGCTGAGATTCGTAACCTGACGTGTTGCATTTTCTTTAGCCTGTGATGAAGCATGCAATGAAGGAGACATGAAATGCTATGATTTCGATAGTGATAGCTGCTGCAATTTCTACAATCTGAGTGGGGATTGTGTGGCTGCGTGCAGTGCAGACAGCCAGCCAAATGAGAACTTTGTGTGCACAGGTATGTTATTCTCTGTTGCACTACTGGAGTCACTATTCCATGTGCTTATCTGTGCCAAAGAATGTATGGTTGACATAGTACACTGTTTACCTTTGACCTATCTCAGGTGGGGTGGTGAGTCTATCTATGTCCGAGTATGTCTTTTCTGAAGAGAGTGGTATTGGCAATGTGTCCATTGAAGGATCTGCAGGATTCAATGTCAGAGTTGTTGCAGGTATGTATGAAAATTCCATTATAAAACTTAGCCACCATAATGGAGAAGTTCACTGCATGTTTTTATCATGGGCAGGTGCAAACATGTATTGGCAGTGGCAGTGGTTTTGACTTCCAAAATGAAAAGCATACAACTTAGCTACGTAATAAGTTTCTCTTCACGGTGAATCCCATTGCATGTACCTGACACCGTTGTCACCCTGCGTGAACCATACCTGTTGAGTTGCCCTGGTAGCTCAGCTGGTAGAGCACTCACTCACACCCACTCACCTAGAGTGCAGAGTTATTTTGGTTGATTTGCCTCCTGAAACCTCGTTGACACATGCGCAGCTGGGTTAGCTGGGGTGATGCGATCTGTGTTAGTGCATGTCCATAATGCATGAAAATCTGGATGACAAAAATCCAAATAACACCTTTGTGACGGACTTACCCCTGATTTCAGAACTAATTTGAAAAACAGCGATGTTTTGGAGGTAAATTTACGCTGAGCTCTTTTTATGACACACTTATTCCAAGTCATAGCTAGCTACATACTTTCTTGATAGTCTGAGTCACCGAGTCGCCCTGGTTATGTGACGCAACATCTAGTAGCTAGCTCTGATGTACTAGCCCAGCTGCCATCTCCCATGCCTATAACCGTGCAATTAAAGTTGCTGATAGGTACATAGTGGTCTATAGGCAGTGCCTTATCCCACCACTCCTTGCCTTTGTGCTCACAATCCTAGGTTTCCATCTTGGCATAATTGCTATTTTGGTTCTGTTTGCCAAGGGTAGAAACTGACTCCTCTTTTCAGTAAATACTGTTATGATAACCGACAGGCGTTGCCAATGCATAATAGATTCGTGATCATAAACCAAGTAATCTCTTTCATGTTAAAGTTAATGTGCCAAAAATCTAAGGCAACACCTTAATACTTCGCTCAACTAGAGTAGTCCTACGTAGTATTACTGGCAAGCAAAGAAGGCTTCTGTATAAAGCCTTTGAATACTCACTCCTCCTGCTAAAGAACATGCTCGGTAAACACTCCACCTGACAGCCAAGTCTTTAAAACAGCATCTCTTAATGTATTGTGATCAACAATAGACTGGGTGAAGGCAGGAATGATGTTTGAATTGAGTGTGGATTACTGGTAGACACAAGAGTGTTCCTCTATGGCCTGTGGTCCTGGAAATGGAGTGCTGTTATCCATTAGCAGAGACACCGTAGACATGCTAGTGGCAGTGTCAGCACAAACACCTTGGGCACACCTGCGCCATTGTTTGGCATTGTGAGAGCATTATTGGTTCAAAGGTGTAAGTGCAGGTATCTTATGAATTATTTTCTGTAAGTCTGTCTCTTATTATACTAATATTTTGGCAATACAGGCTATTAGGTGGCAAATGGTGATATTACACGCTCAGTTCTACGTATGCCCCCATATATAGGGTTTGAAACTGCTTCATTTGTAGTTATCAATAAAATTACGAGCAATTGCTGAATTTGATCTGGTTTTGCCCATTCAGTGCGTCAGTGAAAAACATTACTTCAAAATGAGTGGCTAAGTGCCCCCCCCAATGCTATATACTCACTTAGCAAAAAGAGCTGCCCTGAGTGCCCACGACACTCTGCAGTCCAGGCAACCAATCTACCAGCTAAGATATCAGCAAGCAAGGGACCTGGTTTCAAATCTACAACAGTAATGCATGGCTATTTTACCTATGCTACCGCATGGAAGACACACATGTTTAGCCACACATTAGCAGCGAGACTGCTTTTCACTTAACAATGGGTTTACAAACAAATGACGAGTTCTGTCGCATTAAACTGTCCATTAAATTTTCACACATATCTGCAGTTCCAACTTTTGACCTGGAAAGTGTTCAACCATCAGAAGTTGTTATCAATACGACAGTCGTAACTCCTGCAAACTGTGTCCTTCAACATCACGGACGATGACGTGGCATTTGAGGTTGATGAGATTTACACTGTCACTATCATTCCTGAAGATGGCACCATAACTGTTGGCACGGGGACAGCAACCATCATCATCACAGACAATATCGACAGTAAGTCATGCTGGTTAATGCATAAGCATTAGATTATGAGAAATATGACAAATTTTGTAAACCTTGCACCCCTTTTCTCGTGTGGCAGTGGCGGATATCTAGAACTCGAGAAAAGGTGATTCCAATGCGCGAAGCATGAAGAGCTGCATTATGAGACCTTCCGCGAGCTCTTCTTCTGCCAGGCTGTTAGGTTCTCAGTATAATTATAAATCATCCTAGGTATGTACCAAAATCGCATCGTTAGTTTTTGTACATAACACTTGGACTGAAATGCCATGGAACCCCCCAGATACGCCACTGTGTAGGGTGCACAGTGTTCATTCGTACCCTGTGTGAGTACTTTAAAGTTGGCATGTCAATAGTTGTCCAAGGTGTGACGAAAACAATGTTTAGAAACTTTGTTTATACATTGCCGTTGTTCAGTACAGGCTTTCTTTTCAGCAACATAGCCCTAGAAGCCCACTTCGTTTTCACTCCTTTTGCCAGCCAAGTGTCCTGCCTATAGCTATTCCTTCTTACATATTCATTCCTCTGTGGTTAAAAGGTGTGGCAAGTCATGTCCTTCCTGAGCCAAAATCAGAAGGAGTGACCAATGATGGCTATATATAGTAAGGAGATTACCATGTTTATTTGATGGGGCCAAAATTTAACACTTGAAATAAATAAATCTCAGCTGAGTGGAGAGCCAGGATGACAGTTGACCAATGTAAACTACCCTATTCGGCCTCTCTGTTACATGCAGAATACTCAAGCCAGCTTCATCACCTGCAAGCTTCCAACTTCATTTCTGAAGGATAAGAATAGTCAACAAGCTTTCACTCTCAGGGAAAACAAAGCAGTGCAGGGTCACTTCTTGGTTAGAGCTATATACTATGGTCTTCATTTGTCAGAGCCATATCCGAGCACACTTTATCTATTCCTGAGTAGTGAACCTGACTTTTTCCTCTATACAAAATAAATTCATGGTTTTGCACTGCCGACTCATCCAAGCATCACAGTTGGATTCTCTGCCCTCTGCCTGTGCACCACCAGGAAGTGTCTCCCCCACAAAACCTAGGATTTTAATCTCCAGCTGTCTCAGTGTACATTCCGTAATGGACCACAGTAGTGTGTAAACACTATGAAAGACTCCAGCTCTCCTGTGTCAGTGCTGAGAGTCTTTTTTCTGCTTATCTGGTGTTTACTCTGCCATGCAAGACCTTTATGTCAAGTAATAATGCTCCACATGTCCAATGTGTATGTTGCTTGCTTTGCTTGCTAATTCTATGGTTATGATCTAGTAAGATAGTGTTTTAATTAATGGGAAAACTGACTCTATAACAGTGACCACTGTTATCGACTCTATGACAATTCCCACTGTTTTCTACTATTCCATTTGTTTACACTGCTTTCCTCAACTTTGTAAGAGTGAGCTAGGTTTGAATTTATCAATCAGATTGCAAATCAGAGGTTTACTATTTCCTGTAGTAAACCTCGACAAAGTTTACTACAGGATAAATAGTAAACCTACAGATTCAACAAGAAAACAAAACAAAATGTACACGTAAACAACAAGATCAACAACTGAATCCACATCGATGCATCGTACTTGTGCATGCGCAGACCATCACGCAAACGAAGGGCGGAGTCACTACCGCGCGTCGATCTGCCGTTTCGCTAGCTCTTGCGCTCGCGCTCTGAGCTTGTCTTATCATTAGGAAAGCCAGAGCGAACAACGTGAAACTCTCACTCTATAATTGTTAGACTCTGATTACACGGTAACTACATGCTGGTTTAAGCCAGTAAAGTGAGCCAAGGTAAGGCAGTAAAGTGAGCCAAAAATAGGTACGTGGCTATTACAACAGAGGGTGCTGACATTAAAAAGCCTTTTGCTGTCTGTTGCCTTTAACCTTATATACCTCACTTCCTTTGATGCTAGCAGTTTGTTATTGGTGTCATTTGTAATGGCTATACCCTAGAGCTTCAGTCACTACATTTGCTGTTGTTTCTGGCGGTAAGATGAGGTCGTGAGCCACCCCATTCTAGCGAGCAAGGCTTCAGCAGGCATCCTTGTTATACCTCATAAAACTTATGCACTCTGCCTACCGTATCTGAATAATCACTCACTATTGTTTTCCTCCCTCTACCTACACAGCTGTTCAGGTTGGGTTTGAGTCCAGTGAATATATTCTTGAGGAGGGAAACATGGCAGGGGTCAGAGTACAGGTCAATGGAGATAGCATCAGAGATTTCTCACTCTTCTTTATCCAAGGTTAGAATTATTATAATAGTGCATGAGCGTTCTTGCTCTGTGAGAACGATATATAGTCCATGCCATAGTATGATATCTTATGACAATTCCATCTCTGCCTATAGCTTGTTTTCAACCAAGCACCCTATGTTGCTATTCATCCTTGTGATCAAACGAGCACTGGCCTCACTAGTCTTATATTTACAATACGAACCTCTCGAAGTCCTGTGTGTATAGGCATCTGGTATTGCTGCTGTGTTATTCCTGTACAGAGGGTGCGCCTCAGCAGATGCTGACAGTCATGGCTGGAGAGCAAGGCATACTGTTTCCCATGATCAGTAATCCTGACGATGAGATAGCTTTGCAAGACGACCGCACATTCCGACTCGGTCTACTTCCTCTGGAAGAGTTTCAGGACAGAATCAATGTCGGTGGACAGAGCCAAACAGACCCGCAGACATTTGCCGAAGCAAACGTGACAATTGTTGATAATGATGGTAAGTGTTGCTCAATGCATTTTGCAAAAGCAGGAGTGTAAGCCAGTGGTACTCGCTAACTCTCCCGATTTCCATGGATTTATGTTAAGCCACTCAGGTGCCCAATACTCCCGTATTTATTGTGCATGAAACATGCAACACCCTCGAATTGAAACTCTTTTCCGATCTAGAAGTACAAACTTAACCACGGAAAACTTTAGCGATCAGAACGTGAGTGAAAACAAAGAATGCTCAATTGTGAGACTCCTTTCCAAACCTGCAGACCATGCATCAGAAAGTGCAGTATACTTCCATTTGTCACAGTATTTTTGTTAAATTCTCCAGGTGTGACTGTGAGTTTCAGTCAGTCGGTATACACCACTCAGGAAAATATGTCCCTGATGATCACCCTCTCCTTAGACCACGGAATTGCCACTGATTTCTACGTGGATGTGACAGCAGGTTAATATATACTAGCCATAATTACTTTTAACCCTTGGCATGCATGCACAGTGAGGTTAATGAAACTTGGTCTGTCCGTCTGTTTGTCTGTTTGTCTGTCCGCTAGCTATTCTGGTACTGTGGAGTATGAGGCGGCCAATGAGCATTAGCAATGGCTTCAGACTACGCGAGCCTGAAAATATCATGGTGATCCTCTCCTTAGACCACGGAATTGCCAGTAATTTCTACGTGGTTGTGACGACAGGTTAATATCAGTTACTGTAAGTAGTCTTTATCCCATTGCTGTGCATTTAATTCAGTGTTTCAAGGCTCATTTTTAATTCCTGCAATTCTTTCTGTGCAAAGTGGATACATATAACGTACATCCATTCTCAACACAACTTCAAGCTTTTTACCTTCTTACCTACATAAGCTTTGTCCCTAAAAATACCTTAAAGTTACTATATACTAATTGCAGCTACTAATTTTCACAGATTATTTTTGGCGTGTACTAATTGTAGCGATTTTTGTCCCCACATTGTTTTGTGTACAATAATGTATGTATGTATATAATTATGATGACAACCAGTCAAAGTTTGTGCGTGTATCAAATTTCATCCTTCTTCTCCTGTGCTCCAGCTGACCTAAAGTAGAACCACAAAGCTTTTCAAGGCTTTGTTTCCGTGGTATGCACGCACATGCGCAATACAAATGTTGGCGCACACAGATTCTCGCTAATGTCGCTAAAATTAGTAGTCACAATTAAAAGTAACCTTAAGGTATTATATGTATACCACGATTGACATGTGATTTGGGATTCTTTGGTGTTTTAGCCTGCTTGCTCTGCCGGTAGTTTTGAATTTGCCTAAGGTCTAGCTATGTTGGTGCAGTTCAGTAGGAAGCCACTGTACCTAGACTGCCAAATGTGATCTTCACCAAGAAATACTCGATTTCTAAGGGATAACCGCTTGGTAACTGTTGCTTTGCACTTGTGCTGTCCATCATGACAAGGCATAATGCACCAACTCGGCCCTCATTCCAATGAGAGGAAAGGATTAGAAACTGGCAAGAGAGTTGGCCAAGTCATTCACCGGTAGTAGCCAGTCAGTGAGAGCACTTCCCTTTGCCAAGAGTGGCTTTGTCCTTCCGGAAGAGGGGAATATTCCACAGGGTTAGCAGCCAAGAACTTTTGGTCAATACATGAGTACATGGCTAAACACCCACATGGCTAGTGAGTATGTACGTAACAACATAGCTATTAGCTGAGGGACTCCAGTCCATGACATATAGCTTTATAGGCAGAGCACTCTTAAATGTGTACAAAAAGTAAATGGGGGGTGCACTTATGATATTCTTAAACTGCATCTCTCTCATCAAAGATTTGACTCCTGGAGCACCATTGGCATACCTGTCACTATCCACTCCCGTGAATGATGTCTTTAAAGTCAATTTCATGGCCAGCAACAGTCCCGAAAGCAGAAGTTTCCTCCTCACTCCAGTAGACGACACTAAATCAGAGGAACCAGATGAAGTTGCAACACTGTCTCTGGCCGCTGTCTCTGATGGGAGAGTGGCGTTTGGTAGTAATGCTCAATTGATCATTGAGGATGATGAAGGATTCGGTATATACTTACTAACGCACCTTGCATTATGTAAAGAACAGGTTTTGAGTAATAAAGTACGTAATCCACCTTTTCTTTGTGGAGATATGATTATGGTCTGCAATGCACTCTCTCTTTCTTGTATACTGATGTTGGCTACAACTACTGGATCAATTTTTCCTTGCGCAGGTGATGTTGGGTTCAGAGTTGAATCTTATACATTCATGGAGGATGACGGTGTAGGGAGAGTTGTGGTTGATGGACCAAGCAACTTCCCAGGAGGCATTTTCTCTGTTCAGATCTCTGGAGGTCAGTTTCTCGTGCACATGTTTATCCATCGCCTTGGTATCCCATTGAGTGTATATACAAAATAATCATAGTTTTGAGTGCTTCATGGCATGTAGTCCAGTGGTAGGTGCAGGTATGGGTTCAGGCATATCAGGCTTGTATAAACACTTCAAACGATCAAAGTGGAATGAAAAGCACTAAAGTGCAAACCCTCGGCGAACTGCACATGCGCGATACTGCTAATTGATGGGCTGGGCCGGCTACTTGTATGTGTTTACTTGTGGTCTTCCGCTATATAGTAGCCCGCGGAGAGTCAGACACGGGCTAGTTACACAGTAGTAGATAGCATACGGGAGTCGATACATGCTATTCGTTGTGACTTCCTGAGCCCCCAAGGTACACAGAGCGAGTGGATCAGGTCGCGGTAAGCCCAGTGCGATTTGGCTTTTTCGCTTGTTTTCACGGCATATCTCTCGAACGAATCGTTTCAGGAAAATCGCCTAATAATTTTGCAGGCTCCCGTAGTTCTGAATCCGCCGGTATCGCTAATGGGCCGCCTCGTAGCCTGTAGTGCCAGAATGAGCGTCGACAGACAGACGGACAGACAAAACGACTACTGTAACCCTCGCTGCGCATGCGCGCCGAGGGTTAACTAGTTGGCTCAGTGCATACTGTAATCAACCACTCTTCGTCTTGCGGTGAAACCAACCACCTAGAGTAAAGCAAGCAAGGTACATAGTTCAAAGAGTGAGTATGTAAGTTGCACTTAATTGTGGAACACCAATTGAGTCAAAGGTGGTCCTGATATCCATTGGGACATGGTCTACTGTCATTAGACACTTAATGCACGGAGCAGTCCGCTCAATGTGGGTAGCGCTTTATGGTGTGGTATATAGAACTCTTATATGGAACCTAGGGTTCCCTTCTTTTGAGGAGGGGGAGTGGTCGTTAAGTATAAAACAAAAGGGAAAAGGTGATCTCAATGCTTGCTGTGCTAGCCTGACCGAGTTGTTGCTAGGAGTATCATTGTAGCCTCATTTGGTTATTGTGATAGCCTTTCCATTGCTCACGCTCAGTTGATCAGGATGACTGTATAGTGGTTCATTGAGTGCATATTTTTAGTTCTTGCAGTGTATGTGTTTGATAGGTGTCTTTGTTGTGTCCACTTTAAAAAGGACCTGGAAGACAGCCAGGAGCATCAGGAGAGAATGTTGACAGGAACCTGACGTCATTCCCTGCTGTGGTCACGTTTGACATCACTAATGATGACTTTGCCCTGGAGCCTATGGAGAGGTACACACTCCGTCTCACTGCCAGCGATCCCATCATCCCCATCTCCCGGGCTGAGACCGAGATTCTCATCGTTGATGATGACTGTGAGAAACACTATAATAAGAATCTTCACATGTGTACTAATAATTTATGCTTGCATGTGGTTTTTTTATAGGCAGAGTGCGTGTACAAAAACAAATTTTCCACGGTGCATGTTGGAATAGTTAGGAACTTTGTAAAAATTAAAATTGAAAAACCTTGTGCAGAAAACTAAGGGAGTAAAGACATTACATCAGAGGGGCACTGACAACTGTAATCTTTTGCACAGTAACCTTACCTCACTTCCTTTGATGCTAGTAGTTTATTGGTGTCATTGGTAATGGCTACATATATAACCCTAGAGCTTTAGTCACTACATTGGCTGATATTCATTTTTATTATTATTGATTATGGCGGTAACGAGGTTGTGAGCCACACCATTCTAGTAAACAAGGCTGCAGCAGGCATCCTTGTTGCACCTCATAAAACTCATGCACTTATCTGAATAATCACAGGCTATTATTAACCCTCGGCGCGCATGCGCTGCGAGGGTTACTGTACTTGGTAGGTAAGTTTGTCTGTCTGTCTGTTACCACGTTTTCTGCAACCACGCGCGACGAGACAACGAAAGAGCGATAGCTACCAACAGGTTCATCGCTACACTGGGTTCATTTTAAAAAAGACGATTTTCGTATAACTACGGCTTTCAAAAGCTATGACGTGAAAGTAAGTTAACAAGCCAATGTGCTAATTAGTATTCGCTTACTTCTAGGAAGCAAGAAATAAATGCATGCGTGTGTTACACTGGTGGGTTGTGCACAATGATCACGCCGTAAATGGCACTGTTGAGCGGCCATGGTTTGAGGGCAGAGCTCGAGGATATTTCTTGTCGTTTCTGGTGCAAATACTTATATGAGCTTGTAACATACAGAT